TAAAGATATGAGATCCACGTGACGTCTTTAAGAATCAGTACCAACCACAAAAACGCCATAACATCTTGCAAACTTGCAAACTTGAGTAGGTCAATTGGCGAACGCAGTACAAATCATTCGTCCAAGTTCGAACCATTTCACGGTACTGTCGTAATATTTGAAGCTAGTTATACGCTGTCACGTGTCAAAGTTTGTCATGATATAAGATATATAAATTGTAGTGTTTTAACGATGTTTAGAAGATCAAATACAACTTTAGGTTTTGAAGTTTTGTTTAGAAAATTTGTTAATTTCGTATTTTATTTTTCCCTTGCAACTACGATTGAAGACTATGTGAACAACTTCTAGGGTTATAATTTAACCATCTTTTGGTATCATTAGTTGCAAAACGAACTTCTGGCGTTCCGAAAACTCATTAAAAGATGACCGTTTGTAATCTCTTTATAACGGACAAGGATTGTCTGCCCTCCTAGTTGTGGTGCCCTTCCATGCCCTCCTATTTTGTGCGGCCACGGTTAAGCCACGTTAATATTTTATATTTTTATTGTTTTTCATCTTATTATCTCATTAAAAAATTAATATAAAATGATGACGTGACTTAACCGTGACCGCACAAAATAGGAGGACATGAATGGGCACCACAACTAGAAGGGCAGACAATCCTTGTCCCTTTATAACTTACGCTACATCAGGTATATAGTCATTGGGTGGCATTGTCTGTACCAATAGTACCACCACTTCTCTTTTTCTGCTTCCAAAAGCCACATAGAGTACCACTTTGATTCTCCTACTCCCATGTGAATGTGTAAAAGTGCCGCACTATTTAGGCTTCTTTTTTTTTTCTGTGTCACAGACAAACCCTCCCCCACTTACCCTCTGACAATATTCTTCAAATTTGAGTAGTTTGTCAGTCACCACTCACTCACCTCGCAATTGCACTCAGACTCGGTTTCTCTCTATCCTCCATTCCTCTCATACTTTGTTGTTTGTCGCAGCCGTTCAGATAGGGGAGAAGGGAATGAGAGAGATTAGAAGAGAAAAGAGAATCATCTCAATTGCATTCTGCATTGCCATATTTTTTTCTATATGCTTGGGGCTTACAGAGATTGACTTCGGATCTTATTTGAGTGTAAAGACCATGTAGACTATTTAAATTGAATTCAACGGTCTATTTTAACTCATTACGCTAGCTCATCTTACACAAATCAAGAGCTCCGATTTCTCTTTCACACAAACTAAGGGCTCGGATTTCCTGATCCTCAAATGATCTAAATTCGCTCAAAGCCAATATAATATATGTTATAATATAAGTGAAGATAAATATTTTTGAGCATCACTCTGCTTAAATTGTAACACTGACACATGATGTAACGATTCATTTCTTCAATTACATCACAAAATTTCTTTTGCATTGCATTGCATTACCCAGTCATCTCTCTCTCCTCTTCCCGTTTTCCCAAAACAAGTCTTTTCTAACTTGGCGGTGCTATTCACATACCCATTTTTACTTTCTATATATCTCTTATTAATTTTTGTCTTTTAACATTCTTCAATTCATTTAATTTGATGATCGAAAATTAAAAAGAATGTATAGAAAATAAAAAGAAGGGTGGGTAGCATGCTCCTTCTAAATTTCCCTACTCATCAAAGTATACGCCCACATTCCAACCATTTATTTATTTATTTTGGTACAGACATTTCAACCATCTTCATTTGTTCCACATTTCAAAATAAAGTTACCCACCATTCACTCTCTTGTAATTACTAGTTACCCTACCATTCCCTTTCTGCTTTTCTTGACTTTTACCCCTTTTCTTTTCTCTCTATAAAACCCCTCCATATCTCCATCCATTTACAGAGACTGCTTTTGCATATGCAGAGCAACCCTGTTTTCTTCTCTCCTAATCTCTCAAGCCTCAGCTATGGCCGCATTGCTGAAGACTAGCCTCCCCATCATGCTCTCCACCCTCCTATGTCTCCACGTTCTTGGTATGCATACAAATCCATCTATATATACGGAGTGTATGGTTTAGGAAAATAATTTCCGCACACACTGATCTCTCTGCACACTCTTATTTGTTACTCGTCGTTGAGAAAATGTGCGTGCGGAAATCATACTATATTCTATATATTCTCTCTCTGAAACAAAATGTGGCTTCGTTTCTTTTACATTTGATTTTTGCATAGACCAAGTTAATCTTCTAGCTTGATGATCTTTCCTGTGTGACCTAAATGCAGTATCGGTCTCCTCCGCCACAACACTAACAATGCACAACAAGTGCAACCACCCAGTGTGGCCAGGCATCCAGCCGAGCGCCGGCCAGCCCCTCCTCGCTCGGGGCGGCTTCACCCTCCCACCCAACAAAGCCTACACCCTCCACCTCCCCCGACTCTGGTCCGGACGCTTCTGGGGCCGCCACGGCTGCGCCTTCGACGCCTCCGGCCGAGGCCGTTGCGCCACCGGAGACTGCGGCGGAAACCTCTTCTGCAGCGGCCTCGGCGGCACCCCACCCGCCACCCTAGCCGAAATCACCCTCGGAAACGACCAAGACTTCTACGACGTAAGCCTCGTCGACGGCTACAACCTCGCCATCTCCATCACCCCCTTTAAGGGCTCCGGAAAATGCAGCTACGCCGGCTGCGTCAGCGACTTGAACATGATGTGCCCTGTGGGCCTCCAAGTCCGCTCCCACGACAACCGCAGAGTGGTGGCGTGCAAGAGCGCTTGCTCCGCTTTCAACTCGCCGAGGTACTGCTGCACCGGCAGCTTCGGCAGCCCTCAGTCGTGCAAGCCGACGGCGTACTCCAAGATCTTCAAGGCAGCGTGCCCCAAGGCTTACTCGTACGCTTACGACGACCCCACCAGCATCGCCACCTGCACCCGCGGGAACTACTTGGTCACCTTCTGCCCTCACCACCGTTGATCTCATCTCTTCCACCTTAATTAATTATTATTACCTAGCAGTTAATCAAGTTAATCCATAGCAGGTTAAATTATGGGTTAATTAATACCGTAATACTGAGTTAATGCTCTGTTAACCTTCAGTTTATGGTTGTGGTTTAGTTGCAGGGTCTAGGGGTATCTGTATTTCTGCTATATTGTAACGTATGGATGTGATTAAATGGGAAAGTGAGGGGTATTTTCATAAAATGAGTAATCTCAATTCTCTATGACTGTGAACTGAAAAGTGTGTGCCGGTTTTGGTATCCAATTGTCTGCAGACGGTTACAGATTTTCTAAATCACCTCCGATCCACACACCCAATCCAATGGCAGATCTAGATTTTAGTGTAAAAAATTCCGGGAGCGTTTGCCCTCACTAATTCAGGAGCATTTGTTTGCCCTCGTTACTACTGTTCGTGCACCAGCATTCTATCCGAATCTTTTTCATCAAGACCATCGAATCAAATGATCCCGATCTTTTAAAGAATCAAAACAGATGAACCGTTTGATAAAATTTCAAAAATTCGAATTAATTGATTTAATGATTTTGATGGAAGAGATCCCGCATTATTGGTCTTCCCTTTGAGCTTTGGGGCCATCAATCTATCAATCTTGCTTTTTACTACTACTGTTCGTGTTTACTCTTTCCTGGTCCCATGTTCCCCATTGATTCCTTCATTCATGAACTGTTCCATCTTCCATAATTTCACATGGTTGCTCGAACATAATTAATTATAGATCGTCAAATTATGGTAACATCTGCAGACGTAAGAACATTTGGGGTAGAAACTTTCTTATCCGTTTTAGTAGGGTTGCCGTTTAATATTTATTTGTCATGTCTCAAAAAAATTGTATTACTTATTAAATAAACGATTGGCTAGCAACTAATGGGACAGAGATTTACTTTAAATTTTACTATCCGGATTCCGGAGCTCAAGAATAAGGTAGTTTTGAACATTCAAATTAATTAAATCCGATAATCCCTATTAACTTATTATGTTGATTCATTTTACACAAACTAAAAATTTCAATTTCTCTTTCGCACAAACTAAGAGTTCGGATTTCTTAGCCCTTAAATTCCAAACACTAAGATCCAAAGAATCTAAAATCTACAAATGATAATATAAATATGTGGTAAAAATTGCATTTTTGTTTTTAAATTGGATGCTTTTTTAAAAAAAAAATTTACTTAAATTGACTGCATTCTGAAATTTTTGCCAAAGCAGTGTTTTCTTTTAACTTGGGAGCTTATAATTATCAAACAAAACATATATCGGAGGTGGATTGTCTGCCCTCCCATTTCCATACTCTCCTCATCCCCTCTTGTTTGTGTGGTCACGGTTAAGCCATGTCAACATTTTATATTCTTATTACTTTTGGTTTTATTATTTCTATAAAAAAAAATTAATATAAAATGTTGACGTAGCTTAACCGTGATCACACATCACAGGAGAGCATGGAAAGAATATGGAAATGAGAGAGCAGACAATCCGGCTCCCATTATATCCCGATTACTGCAAAGTTTCGAGAACAATAGTTTTAAAATACTGACACGAACCGTCCTATAAAACAAATCACATTGGACTCAATCATCCAGACAATTTACAATGCTCCAAGCACGGATGGATTCCACCACAGAAACGGACACACATCTCCTCTTTCTTTTCCGAATTCTAGAGTAGACCTACTCATAATACGAAATAGGTAAATTAACGATTGAAAGTGCGGTTAAAGATTCAATAGTTAAATTACAACGGCTAAGGATTATTGTGTATGTTATGCTTTGATCTAGAAAAGAATAATGTTATGTGGATTACATTTACTAACCACTTCTCTAATAGAGGAGGCGGACTCCATTTACATAGGTGAGACTCATTGCATTACGAGAAATTTTGGAATCCAATAACCGAAGCACGTGTCAGTGTGGCCGCAGACACAAAAACACTCACCTCTTCCAAACACCGAATTCCGAGTGTCGTATAGAAGACCCGCTCGTGTATTAGGTAGGTGGTTAACAAAATCTAGTACAAACCCAATGTTTAGAGGCTTCGGACTTTATTTTCCAAGAGAAACAATCCACAGTTCCTTTGGCCCAAATCACTTAAATACGATGAGATGAGCGGGTCACCCAGCAATTTGTATTCTTATTGTCCCCCTTCTTGCATGCTTTCCAACCGAGAAGATCTCAACAACATATGATTGCACAAGCATGCAAACGCACCATGTTCCTCACAAGCATTCCATCGTCTAAAACCCTCATCACCCCAAAAACCCTAACCCTACCTCTCGCATTCCTCTCCACAACCTCACCACCTTCCGATCAACAACCACCGCAACACCTCCACCAAGACCAAGCAATCAGCATAGAAGACAACAGATCATACTTCACCAAAAAAATCCACACCCTCTGCGCCACCCACCGCGATGTCGACGAAGCCCTCCGCCTCCTCGACCGCCTCCGCCTTCAAGGCTACCGTCCCGACTCCCTCAACCTCAGCAGCATCGTCCACGCTCTCTGCGACTCCAACCGCTTCGATGAAGCCCACCACCGCTTTGGCCACTATGTAGCTTCCGACTGCGCCCCCGACGAGCGCACTTGCAATGTTATTGTTGCCCGGTTGCTGGATTCAAAAACCCCACATGCCACATTGCGTGTTCTGCGCTGTTTGACAAATTTTAAGCCCGATTTCGTGGCGTCTTTGGTTAATTACAACCGTTTGATCGACCAATTTTGCTCGATCTTACGACCCAGTGACGGTCATAGAGTGTTGTTTGATATGATTAGTAGAGGGCATTGTCCGAATGCTGTTTCTTACACTACATTGATCAATGGGTATTGTTTGATTGGTGCGTTGGGTGATGCCCAGAAGGTGTTCGATGAAATGAGTGAAAGGGGAGTGGCGCCAAATTCCCTGACGCATAGCGTGATGATTCGTGGTGTTCTTCGGCAGAGGGATGTTGGGCGTGCAAAAGAATTGATGGGAAAGCTCTGGGAGATCATGAAAGGTGAAGATGATGAGACTGTAAAGAGTGCGGCTTTTGGGAATCTCGTTGATTCTATGTGTAGAGAAGGGTTTTTTAATGAAGTGTTTGACATTGCGGAAGATATGCCACAGGGGAAGACTGTGACAGAGGATTTTGCTTATGGACAAATGATAGATTCGCTTTGTAAAGCCAGAAGGCATCATGGGGCATCCAGGATTGTTTATATTATGAGGAGTCAAGGGTTTGTTCCAAAGCTAACGTCATATAATTCCATTTTACATGGACTGAGCAAGGAGGGAGAGGGAGGTTGCATGAGGGCTTATCAGTTGCTGGAGGAAGGAGTGAACTTTGGTTACTTTCCGTCGGAGTACACTTACAAGGTCCTATTGGAAGGTCTGTGCCTAGAATCGGACGTCAAGAAGGCAAGGGAGGTTCTTGAATATATGCTAAAGAAGGAAGGAGTGGACAGAACTAGGATTTATAACATATATTTGAGAGCGTTGTGTCTTGTGAATAACATGACTGAGCTTTTGAATGGACTTGTTTCGATGCTCCAGAGCCAGTGTCAGCCTGATGTGATCACCCTAAACACAGTTCTTAATGGGTTCTGCAAGATGGAAAGAATCGAGGAAGCGCTAAAGGTACTTGATGACATGATGAGTGGCAAGTTTTGTGCACCAGACGTGGTGACCTTCACAACGATCATCAGTGGTTTAATAAATGTGGGAAGAACTCAAGAAGCTCTTGTTATGTTGCACCATGTAATGCCCGAGAAAGGTTTCAGAGCTAATGTTGTGACGTACAATGCTGTACTTCGTGGTTTATTCAAGCATAGGCAAGCAAGAGAAGCAATGGATTTGTTCAATGGCATGGCAAACGATGGCGTGGCTGCTGACAGTACTACTTATACTATAATAATTGACGGGTTATGCGAATCAGATCAAATAGAAGAAGCTAAGAAGTTTTGGGATGAGGTTATTTGGCCATCAAAGATCCACGATAATTTTGTGTATGCTGCCCTTATCAAGGGGATTTGTCGTTCTGGGAGGTTTGAAGAAGCGTGCCATTTCCTTTATGAACTAGTAGATGCTGGGGTCTCTCCGAATATATACAGTTATAACATTGTGATCGACGCTGCTTGCAAATCCGGATTGAGGAAGGAAGCGTATGAAGTTGTAAGAGAGATGAAAAGAAACGGACTGGCTCCAGATTCTGTAACATGGAGGATTCTTGACAAGTTGCAGGGTGGCAGAAAACAATCTTGTGATGAGGTTTCGAATTTTCAATCAATAAATGGGCCACAGGGGTAGATGAGCAAGAAGGCGTGTATTTGAGTGGAGCGATTCGGAAACAATAGAACCGTGAGAAAGAAGAGACAGTAGGAGCGTGTTGGCATAATGTGAATTGGGAAGGTTAGACAAATAGCTGAACTCCAAACAGAGTTGACAGAAGGAACGGATGGTCGATCACCCAATGGTAAGGTAAATTGGCGCATACTTGTTCATTGACAAAGTATCTTAGTCTGAAGGATTGACATAAAAATCATGTTGCAAAAAACTCCGAAGTTTCCAATTCGATGAAGGAATTTAACGTGGAGGTTGGTCTTCGTAAAGCACATGTATCATGTATGTATACAAATTAGAGCGATGGATACGATTTCTGATTGATTGAAAGGTGTACAGAGATTCATACAAGAGTGTAATCAAATTACAAACTCTGAATTCATACAGGTATCTCGCAGTCAGCATGATCATGTTTTTGGATTCTGCTCTTGTAAATGAGGGTGCAATCGTGTATATTTACGAGTACAGGAGCTCAAAACCGGGGAACCTAAGGCCGCCATCGTTCGCTCCTCATGAAAGTGCTCCAGGTTTGGCTTGATTCTTCAACTTTATTAAGCACCACCACTGCAAAAATAGTCATATTGTAAGAAAAAATGGCCAGACCAGGAGGAGGTATGTTTCGCTTGAACCCGAAAAAGGAAAGAAAAAGAAAATCTTGAGTCCCACTCCTCCCGTCTATCTTCAATACGTGCAGTGCAGTGCACTCCAAAACAACAGCCACTCCACTCAAAGCACCAACACTTTTCCTTTAAGGACCAACATCTACTTTCGACAAAAAAAAAAGAAAAAAAAAAGAAGAAATTGTAGCAATGTCCTCAACTAAAAATTTATGACCATCGATTCCTTAACTCCTTAAAACGTGCAGCTATGATCATTTTCTTCAATTCCATTTGTACTTCCACTAAAACGAGTCACGTGTCAGACACATGAGACCGAATCGAGAGGCAAATATGGAAAATCAAATGAGAAAAATTGTAGCAATGGTCTCTCAAAATTGTAGTAATAGTCAATCAGCTTTAACCCAACTGGAGAAATAGTCCACAACTTTAACCCAATTGTAGCAACAGTCCCTCAACTCTAGTCTAATTGCAGCAATGGTCATTCTAACATAACTTATTTTGACGGAGTTAATGAAAATGACAATTGATGGGTTAAGGGACTAATGATCATGAATTTTTTAATTGATAAACCATTATTCCAATTGAATTAAAATTAAGCAATTATTGCTACAATTAAAAAAAATTAAAAAAAAAACTAACAAACAAACAAACAACAACATTTACCGCTTTTCGTACCAAATGATTTCTCTATCAACATCAACAATGTACATTGGGGCCCATTTCGAAGGCCGAAAGCTATAAAAAAAGGACAAGGATTGTCTGTTCTCTCACTTCTGATGTTCTCCCATGCTTTCTTATTTTGTGTGGTCACTGTTAAGTCACGTCAATATTTTATATTATTTTTTTATAAAGATAATAAGATAAAAATAAATAGTAATATAAAATGTTGATTTAATTTAACCGTGACCACACAAACAAAGGGCAAGGAAGGGCACCAGAAGTGGAAGGACAGACAATCATTGTCCATAAAAGAAAACACTACGTGTTGATTGCCCTGACGATTGGATCCTATTTTCTTTTTGTACTAACCGATGAGCACACATTATGTGTGTGTGAACAATTTCATTTTATTTTTTGTTTTTTTCTTAAGGAGTTTCATTAGTTTTTAAAGTTATAAAAAGAGTATGAAAAAATAATAGTGGGACAATTTTTCTTAATAAGTGCATATTTTATCTTAATATTACATAATTACTATTTTGCCCTCTTTATGTAAATATTGTGTATAAAAAATGAGAGTAAAATAAGAAAAATATGGATAGGGTTGTTACTTTTCAAAGATACAAAATTACTATGTTACCCTCTTGTATATCAAAAGTGAAGGTAAAATATAAAAAAACGAAGCAAAATTTTGACAAGAAAGGTTCTTTTAATATTAGTATAGATATTGTAGGACTGAAACCGTGTGCAAACCGAGTGTGGCTGCCGCTGCGACGTCCACGCGGTGGCGTAGACGCGGGAAAATAATATATCTACTGGAGTGAGTGAGCTAAACGATCTTCCCATGTGACATGTGACGTGACACTCAACACTTCAACTTTGAGATTCTTCTTTTATTTTTTATTTTTTATTTTTTGAAGATTACGTGTCACGTCTTTATTTATTCTTTTGTTTCTACACCAAAAGTTTTAGTCTCGATCGCAAATTTAAAAATATTTCTAGGGTTATTTTTTTAATTTGCCTCATAAAAGTTTTGTTTTCGTTTCTGCACCCTCAATTGTCAGAATCGAGCCATTTAACCCCGTTTTCGTCCACGCTGGCTGAGATTTGGCAGTTTTACAGGTTTAAGGCTTCACCAACCATAATAATTAACAGCTCATCTCTATCGGCATGATATGAAATATTCATACTGCTCTTTTGTTTAACGTCCACGAGACATAATTTATGAAAATAGGATGAAAATAACTTGATTTTGGGAGTTTTAGAGTACAAAGTTAGACAAATTCTGTTTGAGGAGGTAAAAAAAAAAAAGACTAAATGGCAATTTTAATGGGACAATTATATGTAAAAAAAACCTTGAAATAAAACTATCATTCGAGTATTGAGTTATCCATGCATTTGACTACGTCGTGTGTCGTTACTGGTATTACAATTTAAAAACAGTATAATATGTTTTGCTAACATGCGAGAGGTCCTTAATTTAATTTTTTGAATAACGAGTTTGATACAAAATCTACTTTATTCAAAGCGATAATTTAAGGTGTGCAATGGATCGAAAATGAATTTGTATGTCTAGCCTACATAAGGTATTTGGGAAATGAAGGAAGGTGAGAGTATTGAATCGCCATCAATCCCATCCCATTCCAATCCCTGCTTTCTTCCGAGCTTCCATCTTCCCCAAACTCGAAAGTGGAATAGGAAAGCTCCCACACCGCGTTATCGCTTTGAAATTTGATCCCACGTACCAACAATTATCCAAAGGAATCAGATTCCATTGCTTAGTTTACCTTCGCATTTGGTTTTGAGCTCTCTAAATTTCAGATTCCATCACAATCTTTTTTCAATTTCATCACGTGCAATATACATGACCACCTTTAAGAATATCTAAGTCAGCAAAATATTGTATATGAAAGAAAAACTAACAAATGCTTGGAATTATGGTAGTTGAGTTACCAGAACAAGTTAAGATGAGTTGAAATTTAGGCATGTTTTGAAGTTCTTTTTTTTTTTGTTGGTAAAATTGGGGGTCAAAACACCCAAGAAAACATTTTGAAGTTCTTTTAATATAACTCAAAAAACGTTTCTGACTGTATGTGACAAAATAAGTACTTTATGTAATAAATACATGTCAGATGCTTCATTCAAAAATAACTTGTATTTTTCTTAAAATTTTCAATATACTTTTACTAAAAGCGCTTAACTGAATGTTATTTCCAATGAGCTCAAAATCAAATTGAAAGTTCAAAGGACTAAAGTGGAACACGGCTATAATTCAAGGGTCAATAATAAAATTTCCAATTTTAATTTCTAATTTTTGTCCTCCTTTCTTTTTCTCTCTATAATTTTCCCCGCTTTTCTTGGTGGCCCCAAAAATCCTCCTTCCCTCCTGACTTCCCCATTTCTGTATAAATACCCAAAGACTTCCCCCTTTCCCTCTTCAAATCTGCAGACTCTGGGAATACCAATTTACCAAAAAACCACAACCACCATGGCAACCAACTGTGCTCCAGCCTCCACCGACCCCAAACCCGCCGTCACCGACCCCAAGCCCGCCGTCACCGACGAGGTCCGGAAGGTCTTCAAAAGCTTCGACTCCAACGGCGATGGGAAGATCTCCGTCAACGAGCTCGGCAACGTCCTCACGGCCCTCGGCTCCACCGTCTCCGAAGACGAGCTCAAGCGCTTCATGGTCGATCTCGACACCGACAACGACGGCTTCATTTGCCTCGACGAGTTCAACGCCTTCTGGGTCGCCGGCCCCAAGGACGGCGGCGTCACCGAGCTCAAAGACGCCTTCGATCTCTACGACCAGGATCGGAACGGCCTCATCTCCGCCAACGAGCTCCACCTGGTGCTCAACCGCCTCAACATGGCCTGCACGATCGAGGACTGCCATCGGATGATCAAGACCGTCGATGCCGACGGCGACGGGAATGTGAATTTCGAGGAGTTCAAGAAGATGATGGGACACAAAGCCTCCTCCGACGGCACCAATGCCGCCAACCCTGCCGCCTAGTGCCGCACACGGTAGTCATCTATCTCAATCCAGGTGCTGAATTTAGATCCGAATCTCCATCTGTTAGGGTTTAACTTTTGAAATTTAGGGAAATTATATACTATTAGATCATCAAATGGATGTGTACGTGGAAAAAATAGGATCTGATCACGTCCTCCACTTCAATAAGTATAGTATTTGTGATTATATTTGGGTGAAGTTGCTCGAAATCGCATCGCATTTCCCTCTATTTTCTGTTTGTTTCTCGAGAAAATTCTCTATCCCCCTTGGTCACTTTGGCTTAATGAATGTTATTGCGATATTAATTTTCCTTTTAATTTGCTTTTTGAGAATATTTTCGTAAAAACTATGGTAAGAAATAAGTTAGTTATTGGCGGCGGAAGGAGGTGAAAAGCGGCGGCGGAGCATGTGTAATAGTGGTGGGCCTGGTGGTGGGGGAGGAGAAGGCGTCAATGGGCGCAATGAGAAGGCGCGTTGACTGGTCAACCATCAGAGATCTGATGGTGATTGGTGGTGGGTGCAAGCGTGCGACACGCGGTCAATAAAGTCCAAACATGGTTGGGCTGCGAGGTTGCCGAAACTTTAGGAATTAGGAAACTGCTCTTTTAGGTTTGTATAGCACGGATTGAATTATAGGGTACATCAGGATTCTTGGCCGTTAGATTATTCTTGGCAGTTAGATTAGTGCTTATTGACGGTTGGTGATGAAGTAGAAGAAAAGGGTATCTCGTGAGTAGACTTGTAAACGAGTCGGATTTATTGGGTTTGCATTGGGTTCAATCCGACCCGTTAAGTTAACGGGTCATCTGAACCTAACCCGTTAAGCTAACGGGTCATCTGAATCTGACCCGTTAAACTAACGAGTAAACACACGTTAACAATTATTATTATTATTATTATTATTTTCATAGAGTTTATGTTTTGTTTCAAGATTTTATTAAAATTACTAAAACATCATCAATTAACGGGTGTTAATGGGTTGACCTAAAGTGATCCGTTATTTAACGGGTTCACCCGTTAACGACCCGACCTGTTAAGTATCCACCTAAATACTAATATTAACGGGTCGGGGTTGGGTCGGGTTAACGGGTCGGGTCCAAAATGCCAGGTTTACTCGTGAGTAGCAGGTGCAGAGGAGCCACCGCAAACGAAATAGGGGAGTTTGGAACTACCGGCGGTGCGATTGACTCGGGGTCGAGATGGGCGCGAGCCCAGTTGACTGCTGATCGAACCCATTTTAGAAAGAGAGAGAATGGGGAAGGTCGAGTTGAAGAGGCGGAATTTTGAAAGGGAGACAACTGATGGCAAGTCACAGTTATCCATCTATTTCGAATGTCGGGAAGACATAAGGCACTCCTTCTAGCCACAAGTCTGGCTTCCACGACAGCAGCGGGTTTCGAACCCGAGACCTCTACTTTTTAATTTTAAGGAAGTCTCATAATTCATCCTTTATCACTGGATTACCAGCTTGTGATTAATTTAATTGTTAATTTGGGGTTATTATTTTTTCCTTTGAAATTGCTTATGTTATGATGTGAAAATAAGCACTTGTAAAAAAAAAGTAAGTATTTGGTCAAACTATAGTGTCAAAAGTGCTTTTAGCAAAAAAAAAAAAAAAAACAAATGATTGGGTTGACTGTCAATATGAAAGTTTCATTCATTGATATTGTTCACCTACTTCCAATGATAAAAGTACTTTTTGAGAAGCATGTGTAGAGTTGTTTTGGACCAATAGTTTTAAAGGAAGCTAATGAAAAATGCTTGAAAACTTTGAGTTTTAATGATAAGAATAAAATAAATGGTATAATGAATAGTACCAAAGTTGAATTTTTAGTGTAAAAATATGATTTTTTGTTAAAGTAAACAGTACAACGAGTTTTTGTTAAAGTTCCCTAGATTTAACTTATCAATTACAATAGAAGTCCCAACTTTTTTAAGAAATTATTTTTGAAAAGAAAAAATTGAGTAACCCTAAACCATCTTTGAACAAAATAACAGGAGGACCATTGTGAATGAATGTGGTCCTCTTTCTCTAGAAAAAAGTATTTTTAGCATCTACAATTTATTTCTTCCGAGAAGATAACAAGATAATACTACCAAATTGTCTCTCGGACTCATACCATCACTGGTTTAAATATGAATAGGATTGAGGCTAACGTGGTCATAAATTTGGATGTGCCTCCACAAAGTTTTGGGACATCACGACACCTGCCAGGCTGCCATTGTTTGATTTAAGGGAGCTTTAATAAAAAGGGATTGAATTAACTTTTATTTAATGAAAAACTACCCTAAACTATTATTTAATGAAAAGGGCTTAAATTTTAATCATAAGGACACAAAACTTTTATCTTAGGCCCTACAAAACTAAAACACACGGGCTCACCAAAAAGCCCAAACCGCATAACAATTAATATTCCAAAATTGCCCCTAACGGAGCCTAACCCAGGCCCGTTAGCCGAAGTTACTAAAATTCATCATCCCTCCCAACGCCATTAATGTTCACCAGCCCCTTCACACCGTACCAAAAAATCGAAACCTCCATTACTCCAAACGTCAAGATCTCAAAGCGTTTTCAAGTTCGATTCAAGTTTTCAAGCAATAATCTACACATCAAATCCGGAATTTCTCAACCCAAAAACTACATTTGAAGACGAAAAACTGAAAACATTCGAACTGTATGTTTGCAGAGTCGAAATCGGACAAACACAGGTACGAACCTATAATTTCTGATATTCTTGATGATTTCTTACTTTAATTTACTAAATATGTGCATTTGCATGTTTGAGATTCTAAAAAATGAATTATGTTTCCAGTTCACAGTTCTGATTTGCATCCAGACGAAAACACACAAAAAATTTGGGAAATAAAAGCAACAGAGAAGAAACAGAGGTACATACCACAAAATTTCTGATATTTTTGGTGATTTTACAGTAATATGTAAGTTTGCATGCTTCGAATAGCAATGTTTCTGCAAAATGGTATATTTTTACTTCACTTTGATAACTGCTCGTTTTCTTATAACCTTTAAATAGTATTTTCTTGCCCTCATATGTTGTTTTCTTTGCTTAAATAACTTAAATATAATCAACATTCTATTCCGGTGGTGTTTTAGTTTAATATATAGTGTTTACAAAACAGTTCACGATTTTTAAGTTCAATAAACAGTGTTTACGAAATAGTTTACAATTTGCTTCATTTGTAAATAGAATTAAAATGTAAGGAAATAGTAAAATCTGAGATGCATTCACGAACGAGTGTGGTTTTCTACTTCAGTTTGATAAATAGTTCAGTTTGCTAAATGGTTCAGTTTGATAAATAGTTGAGTTTGCTAAATAGTTCAGTTTGATAAATAGTTCAGTTTGTTTTGTAAAAAAGTGTGGTTTTCTAGTTCAGTTTGATAAATAGTTCAGTTTGTTTTGGTAAAGAAGTGCGGTTTTCTACTTCAGTTTAATAAATAGTTCAGTTTGCTAAGTGATTCAGTTTGATATATAGTTCAGTTTGATAAATAGTTCAGTTTGCTAAATGGTTCAGTTTGATAAATAGTTCAGTTTGCTAAATAGTTTAGTTTGATAAAAGTTCAGTTTGCTTTGGTAAAAAAGTGTGGTTTTTTAGTTCACTTTGATAAATAGTTCAGTTTGTTTTGGTAAAAAGGTGTGGTTTTCTACTTCATTTTTTGATAAAATAGTTCAGTTTGCTAAATGGTTCAGTTTGCTAAATAGTTCAGTTTGCTCTGGTAAAAAAGTGTGGTTTTCTAGTGTACCTTGATAAATAGTTCAGTTTATTTTAGTAAAAAAAGTGTGGTTTTTTAGTTCACTTTGATAAATAGTTCAGTTTGTTTTGGTTAAAAAGTGTTGTTTTCTACTTCAGTTTGATAAATAGTTTAGTTTGATAAATAGTTCAGTTTGCTAAATGGTTTAGTTTGATAAATAGTTCAGTTTGATAAATAGTTCAGTTTGCTTTGGTAAAAAAAGTGTGGTTTTCTAGGTCACTTTGATAAATAGTTCAGTTTGTTTTGGTAAAAAAGTGTGGTTTTCTACTTCAGTTTAATAAATAGTTCAGTTTGCTTTGGTAAAAAATAGTTGTAATAATTAAACTATGTTTATTCTTACAGATGGACGGAACAAAGAAACTAAGAATAAAGACTTTCGCTGTAAAGAGTCCACGTAAGAAAGAGAATAAAAGACCTGCAACTTCTTATGTTCAATATAGATGCAACGTTTTCGGGTTTGCAAATGCAATGCAATTGTACAAACCAATGCTTCAACAACGCCAAGATGTCATCAATCATTTGGCCGAAACACCATTTTGGAGTCTAATCAAGTTCTACATGAATGATGAAATTGTTGCAACGGACAGAAAAAAGAAGTCTGATATGGATCTGATCAAGATCATACAATGCTATGATTCCAAGCAACAACAGTTCAAATTCGGAGATCATGAGCCAAAAGCAATAACAAGTGAAGACGTCGTTGAAATATTTGGATTGAACAACCAAGGGGTTGAACTACCAAATACAGACAAATCCACAAAGAACATGAAGGACAGCTTTGTCAAAGCATACTTTGCAAAGCAAAAAATAGTGAAAAAAAAGGACATTGTTGAAGCATACCAAAAATCAGTCCAAGACAAAACTCCTGAAGGGGCAAAAGCTACTGCTTCAATTATATGTGTGCATCTGCTACAATCACTGTTATTTGCAACATCTGGAACTTACATAGCGTGGAGCTTCATAACAATTTGTGGAGCTTTGGACCAAATCAGCAAATACAACTGGGCAAAAGGAGTGAGGGACTACTTGTTCAAGAGGATTAACAAATCGAAGAAAAAGAGGAAAAATGGAGAAGAATCAGCAACAACAAGCGGATGCACTGCCCTTATTTTGGTAAGAAATAAGAACTATATTTAAAAAACATGAATTATGTCTTATAAATTACACAAGAAAGTAATTCAAAGTTCTTATTTCATGCAGTATTGGATTTGTCTTCACACCAATCTGGTGGAGACAATAAGTGGGCGAGAAAACATGATTCCTGCCATTGGAAGATGGGACATAACGAAAATCCACAAAGCAATCAGAGACATTCGAGTTGAAGAAATTGAGGTAAGGACAAATAATAAAAGTATTTCAATAAACAGTATATTTTTGCACTTTACAGTTTCATAACATAGTGGTCTTTACAGTTTAAAGTTTCAGAAGTGTCATTTATATAAAACAGATCAAGCAATAGTGTCATTTATATAAAACAGAAATAGTGTCAAAAAGAAAAGTGTATTTCAATAAATAGTAACATATATTACTCTATTATGCAAACTAGTATGATTCTCTTTTAATAATTTGTACATTCAGTAAATAGTTTGCGTTTTTTAAAGTTTAATAAACAATGTTTACGAAACAATGACATTATTATGTAATTTAACAACTATTTAATGTGTCACTGTGTAGATTGGTGGAGGTATTCCTTGTTCTGAAGAACCAACAAAGGAGCATTCCAACATCAACCAAGAAGAATGTAATGTCATTCATTATCCTCAACAAAATAATGAGTCTTCCAAGAAAAAGGAAAAGAAGACAACGGGAAGGAAAAAGAAGAGAACTGAAGTTGGAGCTGAAGAAGATCAAAGCATCACCATCACTGAAGCTCAGTCACAGTTTGATCAACTGTACCAAGAAGAATTCATGAAATTTGATGCAAGTTATCAAAAGGACTTCATCGGGATTGATAACACATTAGGTGTGGAAGATTTTGAAAAGTTTAAAAGATGTGCGAGCATGGATCAAAAGAGGTATCTAGTCCTCAGTCACATGATGATATATGCACTCGATAACCTACACACAAATTCAATTGTAATGAATCAAACAACTGGAGCCCTCAACAGAAACATTGAAAAGCTTCTGCAAGAACGACTTGAGGACAAGCAGAAGATTAGTTCAATGAACACAGAAATGATACAGTTGCAATTAAATAACACAGCAGCTTCTATGAAAGTAAATAAACTTCTGGATGAAATTGGAAGTTTGAAGAAGAAGCTACTGGAAAATCAAGCAATAGTACCAGATATAAATGCTTCAACCAAGGAAGATCCAGAGGAGGATTAACCACCTAAAGAACATCCAGATAATGATGATCAAGTTGAAGAGCATACACATGATAAGGATATTGCTACTGAGGATCCAGTTCAAGAGAATGCAACTGAAAATGATGTGGCTATGGAGGATCCAAAACAAAGGCATGCAATTGATCATGATCCAGATGAAAATGAGGAGGATCAAGCTGAGGAGGATCAAGAACATGAAGGAAAAGACACTGCCACTGAAAAAGGAACCTCCGGAGTTCAACAAGATGTTCAAATGCAGACTCCAACTATCAAGGATGCTGAAAAACAAGGAAAAGAGACTGCCAAAAAGAAGACGAGAACATTAGTAAAAAATATTCGAATGAGGGATGATCGTAAACCAAATGTCGATCCACATTATGATTATATCCCCATCCAGAGAAAACAAAAGAAGGCAAAATATATATATGCTGTGAGTGACAGTGAAAGCCCTTCAATTTTTCAGTCAGAAAGCCAACTATTGGAACCAATAATTGAGAAAGGAAAGGAGGAGCCCAAGGTTGAATCACCCTTGAATCCAATTGCTAAAGAAATAGCAAACAAACCTGCAAAGAAGGCTGCAAAGAAACCTGTAAAGCAAAAGCTTGACAAACGGTATCATCTACCTGCATCAACAAGGGCGTACAAGTTACTTGAAGATGAGACAAAAGAAAAATTCAAGAAATATTACAGACAAGAGAAAATGTAAGTTTACATTATTAATCATAACTTAATACATGTGTACACACACACACACATATACATAGATATATAATACGTTTTATTTTCTGATACAGGGACTACTTCTGGATGCAGCCAAGACAAGGGTCCATGGCGACTGACCTTGTTGTCCTAAAATCAGATCTGACATCATTGTTTGTGGATGGAGCAATCGACGCCAACATAATTGATGCTTCGTTCTACACAATGGCAGAAAACGAATCAAAAATGAGGCAACAAAAAAATCTGTATCTTCCTTCATTCATATTTGTAAGTGCCAAACAGTTTTGTTTACAAAAAAGTGTGGTTTTCTAGTTCACTTTGCTAATAGTTCACTTTAATATGTAGTTCAGTTTGCTTTGGTAACAAAGTGTGGTTTTCTAGTTCACTTTGCTAAATAGTTCACTTTCATATGTAGTTCAGTTTGCTTTGGTAACAAAGTGTGGTTTTCTAGTTCACTTTGCTAAATAGTTCACTTTCATATGTAGTTCAGTTTGCTTTGGTAACAAAGTGTGGTTTTCTAGTTCACTTTGCTAAATAGTTCACTTTCATATTAGTTCAGTTTGCTTTGTATACTTGCCTCCTACAAAAGGCCTTGCATTCACTTTAAAACTTTAAATGTGTATTCTTGGTTCAGAATGATATGGAGATTGAAAAAAAAATGTGTATTTTTCGGTTCAGTTTAAGAATTAGTGTTGCTCATTAATTAAGATTAATAAATACATGTGTATTCTTGGTTCAGAATGATATGGAGATTGAGAAAAACAAGACTGATCAGGAGCACATTGACAAAACATTGAAGACAGTCTTACAAGATAATGTGGATAAAGTAGGAAAGGTCTTCATATTGGTCAAGCATTACTTTCACTTCAGCTTGGTAGTTTGGGACATTAAAAATGGAAAAATGACACACTACAATTCCAAACTACCAAGGGTACATGGGAATACAGACCTATACTTTGATCATGTTGTTCAAGTGGTAAGAACAAAACTATAATTCAATTACAAACTATATTCTTATTCTGATAGGAAAAATCAAACTTCATAATACAATTTTTTTTTTGTTGTTTTTTTTGTTTTTTTTGTTTTTGGCAGAGAGACAAAATAGAAGCATTTTACAAAGATTTCAAAGGAGACAGCAATCTCACAATAGATATTGAAAGATGCTTAACTTGCGCCCAACAAAAGGAGGACTCGTAAGTACAAACAACAAGTTGATCTCTATATTTTTCAATCAAATTTATACATTCAAACACATAAGAAGGACCATGAAAATCATATATACAAACACAAGACTTATACTTGAAAAAATAGTTTGCAGTTTGCAAAATAATGTCATAAGAAGTTTCAGAAATAGTTGATTTTTCACTCTTTACACTTTACGAAACAGTATTACAAATCAACAAATAGTTCATTTTTTCAGTAATAATATGTCATCTAACTACAAATATATGGAAATGAGACACAGAAAACAGAAAACAAAATCATTCTAGAAAATATACTATAAATTTAGACTTTGCAAAATAGTGTCATAATATAGTTTTCAGATATAGTTCCAGTTTGCATAACAGTGTTACGAACAAGAAATAGTTTCATTTTTTCACTTTTAATATGTCATCGAATGTTATAATATGATCTCATTATCTGTCATACTTATTTGTTTATCCAAAAAAAAAAATGCAGATTGGATTGTGGCATATTTGTCATTCAATTTGCAACCCAAGTGCAAGAGGGCAAACCCAATAGAAGCCAACACCTTTGAGAAGGAAGAAGTATTTGCCAAAAGAACTCAAATTGCAACTGCACTTGTGAATCACAAGAATAGTTATGCAAATGGACTGAAGAAGATACTTGAAGACAGAAGACAACAAAATAAACATGGTCAATATGATGACATTCCTGATGAGGATTTTATTACATTAGCTTGAGTTTTACAAATTACATTTTATATCAATGTACATCTACATACAAAACCCCGAGCTCAGGTGGGCTTGTATGATGGTGCCCATCCCATACTTGCGTACGTTTTATAATTTTTTTTGCCCTAGGGGGCCTAATACCATTACTCATCTAAAGAAACCATATAAAAATGAAAAAGAAGTTTACTATGAAGCCAATCAACTTCACATACCTGATTCTTTGAGTTATAACTTATAAGAATGAGAACTATATTAAAAAATTTCACATGCTTACATTTTGACACTTCCTTTTTTGTTAAAGTTCCCTTTTATTATCCAAAAAATATAGTTACCAAATTAGATAAATTTATGCAAAACAAAAAACTAGATAACTTAAACTGTTTCTGAAATATATGTACACACTATATCTAAAAAATGAAAAATAACAACTTTTTTTTTTTTTCAGTTCCAAATCAGCACCCCATCCTTCACGCATAATTAACGCCCAGCAAAAATCATCATTTCACTCATGCGCTAACTTCACTTTCTCTCCCTAACACCACTCTCATTTTCACGCACAGATAAGCCACGATGAAGAAACTGCATGCACTATAAAAAAAGAAAACCAGAAACCCAGCCCCCAGCCCCCAGCTCAAATCATCAATCCTCATTTCCCGATTTCGTACATCATTCAAGTTCTTTTACGGACGAATTCACGCAAATTTCAACTTCGCTGAGCAACTTGGTCGCAGAAATACCCAGAAAATAAACAAAAGGTAACAATCTTACAATTTTTCTCAACATATTTCACAAAATCATACGGTTCATTGTTTATATAACAAACATCTACTGGAATTAAGCATATAGAATAACATGCGTCAACTTAAACAAAACCCAGATTATACTATTTGCTTAAATTTATTTTGTTATTTACTATCAGTACGAATCCATCACAGATCCACCCAATAAAATACTATTTACTAGCTAATCGTTCAATATATAAACATACATTATGCTATTACACGAACTAGTATGATTCTCTGTTTGTAATTTTTATATTTGAGTAAGATAGTTCACGATTTTTAAGTTTAATAAACACTGTTTACGAAATAGTTTACAATTTGCTTCATTTGTAAATAGAATTGAAATGTACGGAAATAGTAAAATCTGGGATACATTCACGAACAAGTAAATAGTTTGTGTTTTTTAAAGTTTAATAAACAGTGTTTACGAAACAGTTTACAATTGCTTCATTTATAAATAGAATTGCAATTTTTCCAGATCTTACACATAATACACCTCTTATTGTATATTTTTATTTCTAATTTATTTAGTTATATGAATCTTATAAAGATTTATGCAGTTATAAAAATGTTTTCCAATTCCATAAATAGTAATTCACCTTGGTATGTTTCAAATATAATTGTGTACTCATACTGATTTTTATTTGTTTACGATCAAGTTGCAATCTAATAAAAATTATATTGACAGATGGTTTCAGTTAGAATAACTGTACAAATGTCAAACTCAACCAAAGCCAATGTCAAAATGATATCCAAAACAACAAAGAGGACAGAACAAAGGAAAATGCTTGGAAAAATAGCAAACAGATCACGTACGAAGAAGGAGACAATTCATCTACAGATTGACACCACTACTGAAGAAGAAGTTGGAGAACCAATGCAAATTGCAAAGAAAAAGGTGCAAAAAAAACAACCACTACAAAGGCAGAGGAAGAGGGAGACACAACCTAAAGAACAGAACAATTGTGAATCAAGGATGCAGAAGAAAAGATGCCAAACACTCCAACCACCAACAGCAATCAAGAGAAAGAAAAAGGAAAATGACAAACCAGTTCCAAAGAAAAAGAAAAAGGAAAATGCCAAACCAGTTTCAGAATCAAACAAGCAACAAATTGAAGAAACAGATATTGAAGCTCTAAAAAACAACAATACTCTCAACAAGAATGATCTACAAGTCAAAAAGCAAACATTCAGCCAAAAAGCAGCAAAGCCAATGACAAAAAACAGAAAGAAACTCTTGGGTGAAATTCCATCATTCAACCTGGATTTAAAAGATGAGCCTTCTTCACAACCGGATGACCTTCCAGCAACAAATCACATAGACAGCAGTGTGAATTGGACACAACTTCAAGTGTACAAGATGCTGAAACCAGATGATAGAAGAAGAATAACTCAATTCTGGTCAATAGACAGCAGGTAAGTAATACAAAACAAAACTCTTAACTGAAGTTTTTACACACTCCCATAACTTTATAAGCACTGATGAATTATTGTATAACTAATACTTTTACACTGTCCTGCAGCGATGAATATTGGACGGCTGAAACTACAGATTTCAACTATTACAAAATAATGGTGTTGAAAGAAGACCTGCACAGTTTGATGGCAAATGGACCTACATCAACTCAGATTGTTGATTCTTTCTGCTACATGAAAAGAGAAAAAGAGAACATCACGAAACAAAAGAACTTCTATGTCTCCACAACAATCTTTGTGAGCAAACAAAACAACTAATATTCTGCAAAAAATTATTTACATATACATATAAAAATTAGAACAATTAATCTGTAATTATGATGTTTGATAATTTTCATTTTCAACAGCACAACATCAATGAACAAAGCATTGAAACAACTCTGCAAAATAAGGAAAGGCTCTACAACCAATTGATGGACCAATATGGAATAGTATCAAAGATTTTCTTCCCATTGTTTCATTACAACCATTTCTCCTTGGTAGTTTTGGACACAAAAAATGCAGAAATGATTCACTACAATTCTCTTCGACAAAGCACAACAGATGAAGATCTGGACTTTGATTGCTACTGGGAAAATGCAGAAATTGTGGTAAGCAAAACCCACAACCAAAAACTCTGTCATATTTATAGAAAACAATCATCTTATTATTACATTATAAATTTTTGCAGGGCCACTTTGTTCAATATTGGCTGGATAAAGCAAGAAAATCAACAAGCAATTCAAATGATATGGATTCAACTCAAGCCACAACGAAGAAAATTAATTCCATCAAAAGTGACTTTGAATTCCAAATCAAAGAAGACAGAACCTGTGCACAACAGAAACCAACATCGTACGTTATAAAATTAAAAGCATTTTAGTTATATATATGTATAGTTTGTGCTTACTGCAGTTTCAGAAACAATATGAATAATTTGATACAGTTATAGAAATAGTTTGTACCACACATTTCATTTCATTATAATACTCATAATCATTCCATGAATTTCTTTGTAAATCAGATTAGATTGTGGTTTATACATGATGAGCTTCATTGACCAACTATCAACTAACCGGAAGGTTCAAGGATGTATCAAAGATCATCAAGTAATGAAAGCAAGGAAACATATCCTCGTGGATTTGATGAACCATGATTTCAGCTGGACAAGGGAACAAGAAGCATATATCGAAATCTCACAACAACTCACAAGCATTGGACATTAGAATAAAAAATACAAAATACGCATTATATGTAATTTTGATTCGGATGTACTTTTTAAGGTTCAAGATGAAAATCTGAGAGATGGTGGAAAGTATTGGTCTAAACTGAAGCAATACTTACATGTTCAAGCTTACTTTTGCTATGATTTACAAATGTCATTGTCAAACATATTTGACACAACTCTCTCTCTCTCTCTATATATATATATATATGTTTCATGACTTAATCTAAATTTTAATCTATTTTGATAAATATTTCAGTTTGCTTAGTTAAAAAGTGTGGGTTTCTAGTTCAGTTTGATAAATAGTTCAGTTTGCTTTGATAAAAAAGTGGTTTTCTAGTTCACTATCATAAATAATTCATTTTGATATATAGTTCAGTTTGCTTTGGTAACAAAGTGTGGTTTTCTACTTCACTTTCATAAGTAGTGTGGTTTTTTTTTCATTTTCTCTTACCTAAAATGGAATATTAACTAGATCAAGAATGAAAACCAACATACTTGCCTCCTACAAAATGCAACACACAAACTTACATACAACCTACAAAACAGATATTGAAACCACAAAGCCATAAACATAGATATGTATTCACTGTTTATCAAACTCAACTATTTATCAAACTCAACATACTGTTTCGTAAAACTGGAAATACTAAACATTGAATTCATATTTATTACTCGAACATAATTCCAAATCAACAATTACATACTCCCAAACACCAATTGAAAAAAAATAAAAAAAAATATCCAAAATGAAAATCTGGTACATATTACCAAAAACTCCCATCTCTCAAAACAAAAAAGAAAAAAAATCACCCCTCTTGTATAACAACTTTACATGAAACCTTGTTATGTCCCGAACAACCACACCTACTACAAGTGACAGTCTTCTTACTCCCACTGATTTCCCCAGCAGATTTGATCCTAGTTTTCTTTGGTCTTCCAGACGGAATCTTTGTAATTGGAGGCCTCACACCATTTATGATAGTATCAACATTCGGCTTTTCCAAATCTGAAAATGGATGCATGACAAATTGATATGTTTTCCGATAAAAGCTTGATTTCCAGTAATCATCAACGTAATAAAAAACATCACGATTATCATGTTGCAACACCTGCAAAGCATGAGAACATGGGAAACAATTATGCTGCCATTGCACACAAGAACATGTCCTATCATCCAGACAAACAACAAACCGATTCCACTCTGTTCTAACTTCAAAAACATCTGCATCAGAACGACTAATCCTCCAATGCATGCCCTCCTTCAACATCAACTTCATCTCATTTTCTTTCTTTGGACACAAAATCGTATGAATATTCTGACCAACTATTCTTTTCTCAGCCATACTACCCATCAACCGAACTCTAATGTCTTCAAGAAGATCCATAAGTGGCATACAACGACTATTCGACACCATGGCGTTAAAAGATTCTGAAAGTGCATTGCTCATCGATCCCCATCTCTTACCAGGAAAATGGGCAATAGCATAGTTCTCTTTTGGCAAATCACACAAAAAATTCTTCACATGCCCTTGCCCATTATCCTTGAATTCAGCCATGCAATCATCAAAATCAGATGGGGTACATGCGTACGCACAATTTGTCAACAGATTCATCATTTTCTTCTTTAGTCCTTCACCAGCAGCCTTTGGAAATAAAGTACTCACATTCTGTTTCAAATGAACAATACAAAATGAATGTGGACACTCGGGAAAGAATTCTCGAATGCTCTTCAAAATACCATCATGTCTATCCGACATCAATGTGATCACCCTCCCTTGAGGCCTCAATATACCAGATAATATTGCCAAGAACCATCTCCAATTTGCTATCGTTTCTGAATCAACAATAGCATAAGCAACCTCAAAAATCTCTGCACAGCAAAAGTGAAAATGCACTGTCAAATGTCAACTACTTCTGAAACTGTAATTGAACTATTTAGTATACTTTGTTTGAACTACTTCTGCAACCTTTTTTCTTTATTTGAACATAAAATCAAAGACCAATGCACCAAAAAAAAAAAAAAAAAAAAAAAACAGATACAGTCAGAGTATCACCTATTTATGAGACTGATTGAACTATTTCTTAAACTGTTCTTCAACTAGTTCTGGATATGTTTCTTTTGCACAGTAAGAAAACATAAACAAATAATATCCAATATAAAAGTCTAAAATTATTAACTCACAATCGTTACCATTTTTTGCACAGCAAGACAGAAGTGTTCCCTTGTATTTGCTCTTGATAAAAGTACCATCAATGAATAACATCGGGCGACAAAACATGAAACCTTTTATCCATGCATCATAAGCAATAAACAAACGAAGAAATCTATTGCTCTCCGGTACAACTTCAAGCTCAAAAACAGATCTAGGATTGCTTGAACGAACAGATTCAACATACCAAGGCAAGAACTTGTAAGCATCAACATCATCACCATTTAACTCAAAAACTGCCATCTGTTTGCCAAAATAGGCAGTAGAATAATCGATATCTAATCCATAAAACTGTTTTAAATTTGAAATGATCTCCTTCGGTTTAATAAGAGGATTTGATTGAACCTTATCCTTGATAAGAGAGCAACAAACTGTCGGCCAACAACTTTGTTTTTCTTCTTTCGAATCATACCCTTGCATGTATGCAGATTATGCAACTTCCGAATAACAAAAAAGTTATTAATATCACACTTGGATGCATACACATGCCAAAGACAGCCATCAGATTCCTTCCTAGAACACTCCGCACTAATGCGATTCTTATCATTCTTCAAATACTTCAAATCAAAACCACATTCAACAGAAAACTTCTTCAACTTATCTCGGAAATCATTACAACCTCCCCTAAAGACTTGCCCCTCAGATTCTATGTAATTGTCCCATTCACATGACATATAATTGTGCACACCGTAAGAACCATATTTTCCTAAATGATCATTTTCACTAGAAACAATCATAGAGTCTAATGTACGGCAAGAAGAAGATGTGCTTTCCGAAGGTAACTGAACTATGGAACCATCACATTTGTCTATAACCAATATTTCTACAATCGATTTCCCAACAACATCAAGAACCATCAACATGTTTAGAACATCGGCATCACAATCTAACACGCAATTAGGATTTTCATTCAAACCATATCGCAACTCAAAACAACCAACTCTCAAACCCTTAAACCTAGAACAAAGATCAATGCAAATCTGATTGAAGGTAGAAGATGATGAAATAGAACTAACGACGCATAAACCACCATATGTAAACCGAGCTAGTTTACCATTCTCCATAACTGTTTATTAATAAACAACAACTGTTTATTAATCGGTTGCAAATCTAAATTCAAATCTTTGTAAAACAAATCAGTACCTAATAATTAAACAATATGCATATAAAACGAACAAAAATAACACTATTTATAAAACACAACAATCACAAAAAAAAAAAAAAAAAACAAAAACAAAACAAAAAAAAAAAAGTAAACTGAAATATCCACTGTTTCGTAAAAAAAAGAACACTATTTCTGAAAAATGTTAAAAAACATAAAATGTGATGAACACCTATTAGTTAAACAATATACATATAAAGTGAACAAAATTACACTAGTTTATAAACACAAGAATCACAAAAAACAGAAAATAAACTGAATATACACTGTTTCATTAAAAAAAGAACACTATTTCTGAAAAAATGTTAACAACATCAAATGTGTATAACACGAATTAATTCATAATAAATTTCTGAAAAAGAAAACAAAATCAAGATGACCAACATACAATATAAACAAAACAAAACAAAAAAAAAAAAAAAAATCAAAACTTACCTGAGATTCTTCAAAATAAGAAACTCCTAACTGAAAATTTCACAAACCGGAATCAATCTACTAATCTGAAAACAAATCAACAACAATATATAAGTCAAATAAAAAGCTAAGCATAATTCATGCAAAAAAGAATTCAAAATCGAATTCCAATTCAAAAAAAAAAAAAAAAAAAAAACAAATCAAAACTTACCTGAGATTCTTCGAAACTCCTAACTGAAAAGTTCACAAACCGAATCAATCTGCTAATCTGAAAACAAATCAACAACAATATATAAAGTCAAATAAAAGCGAAGCATATTACATACAAAAACGAATTCAAAATCGAATTCGAATTAAACAAAAAATCGAATTCAAAATCGAATACAAAACTGCAAAAACAATGTCGATTACCTCCAAACGAAAATCTAACCAAATATGAAAGACGATCACTCCAGTTAAAATATTCAAGCACAACGAACAACACCGATGACAACGATTCAGTAGAATCTCAAAATATGAAACTACTGCGAATTTGTTCTGAAACAAATGTTTATTCCGGAAAAATAGAACAACGGCGATCACGATTTCAAAATGCGCTCTCAACATTCGTCGGCAAGCATTACTCAAACCACTCAACCAGATTCATAAAAAATTGAAAATCCCACTGAGTAATCTAACAGAATAGGTAAATTAGGTTAACCCCAAACCGAGTAATCTAACAGAATAGGTAAATTAGGTTAACCACATCCGTTAGGGGTAAAATTGACAAACCACAATATTATTTAGTCTGGACTATTGTATTTGGGCTGATATAATAATGGGCTTTGTACTAACCATTAAATAAACTTTCAATGTGGTTTTTGGTTAAAAGTTAAACTTTTCAAGCCCTTTTGGTTAGTTTTCCTTTGATTTAATTAAATAAGTAACCGCTGATGCTATTTCAAACGCAAACCTCACTCATCTGTTAACCGATTATTTAGTAGCTGACGCACTCGTTGATACTCTCTAATATAATTAGCATATGAGCACACATATAAAGTGTGGGAAGTTTTTTTTAATTAGAGATGTGTTAGGATTACATGTAGGTGAGGTTTTGAAAAAAAAAAATATGTTGGTTCGTACGTCCGAATAATTTGTTTTGGGTAGTTGCGGATGAGAAAAGTAAACAATTCAGATAAGTTTTGAAGCCCAAAAACTGAATGGGCTTCATCATAAGGCCCAATCTGTTTCTGCGGTAAGGACAGGCCTGGTCAATGTGGCTGGACACTGTTGTTTCACGGGAAATATGAAGTCCAGTACCAATTATATCCAAATCTAATCACGTGTCATGTCACACAAAAAGACTGTCACATGATGCTCTCAGCATTCAAATTTGGAGTTATATTAGCTCACCACTTTAAACAGTGGTCATGCTCACCGTCCTTTGTTTATCGCTGGATGAGTTCGGTTTATTCTATTTACTGTCCAAATTTTAAATTTACAAGGCACTTTCAATAAATCGGGAGTGACAACAAACTACTCTTCACTAAAAACACAAAATTTTTATACTAGTCAAACACTTATTTCAATGTAAATGAGATTTTTGTATCTCGCTAACATTATCAATTATAAGTTGTCGTGAGGACTAAATTCATTTGTGCAAAAGAAAAGAATTGAGGTGAATTCGAGATTACGTTTGATTAGTTTATAAGTGAGACGTTTTAGGTTCGATTCTCACCTTACCAAATGCGAATACGAAATAAATTTTTATGGCTAATTCATTGTGAGGCTGACCTCCACCTCAGTGTAGGTCTTAAATAAAGTTTGCTTAATTTGTGCTAAAGGGAGCAGTCATCATGTCTTTTTCAATGTTATCACATGTAAAGGACTCACTACCCTCCAAAAGCAAATGAACAATTTCAATTCATTTCCTCATGCTCTACTGATTTGGACTTGTTCACACACATTATATATATATATATGTCCAACATATTGGTCTCTTCCTCCACCTTTCATTTGCTCTGCCTCTTCCCAAATTGCTTCAAGTTTTCTTAGCTTGTCTTTATGTTTATGATTAATTAGTGTTTTAAGAGTTGTAATTAATTGGATCATCAAGTAATTACCATACATGTTGATGGGTGATTCGATTGATGAAGAGTGTGATTACTTGTTTAAGGCAGTTTTGATCGGAGACTCCGGAGTTGGCAAATCGAATTTGCTATCCAGGTTTTCCAAAGACGAATTCCGGTTGGATTCCAAGCCCACCATCGGCGTCGAGTTCGCTTACCGGAATATCAAGGTTGCCGATAGGATCGTCAAGGCTCAAATTTGGGACACTGCCGGCCAAGAAAGGTACGCCTCCCTCCCTCACTTCATCTTCTTAAATTTGATTTTGTTTCACTTGATCATAGTCTTTGGAATATATTTGAAGAACATGCATATACTTATAACTGGATAACTAGAAAACCCACCTCCTCTTACTGGGCGATCCTACGGTTCGTTTGAAAGTACTTCTAAGATAATTGAAAGAACTTTTATAGAGAATATATTTTGAGTTACAAAAACACTTCAAGTGTTTTTTTTCCATAATTTACTTGCATTTTAATTAAGAATTTTCTTCAGCCATTTTGAAAATACTGCAAAACAAGCCCGTGTTGTATTATTGGTTTGGAACGTATGTGTCATTCTGAATGCATACGTTAGTCATTTTCCCCTTTGTCCACTACCATGCTTTATTTTTCTTGTGTTATAGATCAAACGACATCCTTTGCGCTGATTACGTAGAATATTTATGCAAGTTGAATGTTATTTTTCAATGCGATCAGTTTTCCCAAAATTGCCCTAGCTTTTCTCTTATTTTTTTTCCTTTTGGTTTAAGGATGCTTTTACGTTTGCCGATCTTTTGAAGCAACTAAATTATGGATATGAACACAACTGTTCAACCCTGCCTTTCCCTTCATGATTTGGTCCCATTAACGTCAAAAGTTGTAATTATACCCCTAGTTTAATAATCCACGCTGGTGGGGCCCTTTAACCTAAAATTTATATTGATAAATGTTAAAAAGAAACTCTCCAAATAGACTTTTATACCGTCTCATGGTTTTGATAAAATGTTTTATAATGTTCGCGGAAATTGACGTTAAAGGAGAAAGTCTACGAAGAAATATTAAGTAGATTTTTTCAAAAGTGAGACTCTCTATGGACTTGTCACCACCTCATGTTTTTTACATAATTTATGTGCCATTATAAAACATTGTGTAAAAAACATAAGGTTATGGACAATCTCACTTTGAGAGAGCTTTCTTGGCGTTTCTCTTATGAAGAATCCGACTTTGTGAGAGTCATCATAGACTCTTTGTCACCTACTAGTTTAACATTAACTTTTGTATCAACATTATCAAATATATGCAAAAAACCAAAAAATAATTATAAAAAATTATACTTTTAAGAGAATCTCCTCGGTATTTCACTTTTGCATTTTTTTTTAAGGAAGTTCTAACGAAAAGCCCACGGTACTGTTTACTTTAACGAAAAATCATATTTTTACACTAAAAAGTCAAACTTGCTACTATTTATTTTACCTTTTATTTTGTCCTTATCATTAAAACTCAAAGTTTTTAAATTTTTTTCATTAGTTTTTTTTTTTTTTTTAAGTAGCACTAGGATAGAGCTCAAAGTTTGGAGTTCTTTTTATTTGCTTTTCTGAATTTCTTTTGTCTTTATCGTTGTTGCTACTGGTGAGCGTAAGTGACTAACCATTAGGTGGCCGCTAATTAAGGTGAAGTGATTTTTGCCCTAGTTTTCTGCTTTTCACCTTCTTCAGTTAACTTTCTTAATCTTGGATTCTTGAGGTGGTAGAGAAAAGTTCCTATCATCGCACAACAACTATTTAATATGTAATGTGATTATTGTTCAGAAAAGGAAAAAAGTAAAGTGATTATACAAGACATCATGAGTGTGATCCACACTCCGTGAATTAGTGGAATTCAAGATTTGTTTTGAGACTGTTTTTTAAGGGTTAAAAATATTTTTTGTAGTAACGGATTTGTAGTTCAAGTGATTAAGAATATTAATCTTTTACACATGAAATCCTTGATTCGATTTGCCTTCCACTAATATTGCTCGTAAAAGAAATATGCCAATTTGACTACATTGAAAAACTTGTAAGTGTTTATGGACTACAAGAGTATTTTTTGGACAAGCATCTATTAGGTGCTTCTTCATGATGCATTTTAAGAAGCATTTGGACGTGTCTGTAATGAAATCACTTCTTATAAAAGCACTTATAAAGGTCGTACCCAGTGCACAAGGCTCCCGCTTTACGCAGGGTCTGGGAGAGGTGAATGTCGGCTAGCCTTACCCCCATTTATGGACAGGCTGCTCCCAAGTCTCGAACCCGAGACCTACCGCTCATGGGCGAAGGCACTTGCCATCGCACCAAGTGCGACCTCTTTATAAAAGCACTTATAAACAGAATTATTTCCTACACAGAGACATTTTTGCGATGGTTAATGTTTTTGTTGGAAGTACTAATTTAGAAAAATATATTTATGCTTATGCGTATGAGTAGTGGTGGTTAATTATACTTTGGTTTATTAATGCAGATTTAGAGCAATCACGAGCTCATACTACCGTGGGGCGCTTGGCGCCATTCTGGTGTACGACATTTCCCGGAGACAATCCTTCGAAAACGTGAGAAACTGGTTGCGAGAGCTTCGCGAGTTTGGTAATTTGGACATGGTCATTGTCCTCGTCGGAAACAAGTCGGATTTGAGCCAGTCTCGAGAGGTCGACGAGGAAGAAGGCAAAAGTTTTGCAGAGGCAGAAGGGTTGTGCTTCATGGAAACGTCTGCGTTAGAGAATGTGAACGTGGAGCAAGTATTTTTGGTTATGATTTCTAAGATTCATGACATTACGAGGCAGAGAAGTTTGGAAGCAAAAGTGGAAGAAACGAGTGTTGCGAGTAAAAGTCTCGGTGGTGCGAAGGAAACCATCCATATTGGTGGTGATGATCATGAAGTTACGGCTACTAAGCAATCTAGTTATTGTTGCTCAAATTAGCTGGTGTAACTTCTTGTGTGCCAACATCAAATATATGTTTGAATATGCATTTATAGAGACAAAAAATATTTATTCAAAATGGGATTTCACTGTAGCCACCACGGGTTGGCTAATAGTTAGGGACGAATTTTAGGTCAGTATTTCGTAGAACACGTCCTAGGTTCGACTCGTCGCATTGTGAATCACAAGATGTGGTGATCAAGAGAGATTGAAAATGCTTTTATGAGTCTTTCTGGTCCTAGAAAGAGCAACTGATTTTTTTTTTAAATAATGGGATTTAATTGTTGAAACAAAATTTAAAAAAAAAATCCTATTCAAATAAACTTAAAAGCATTTAGAGGTCATGAGTTCGGTATTTTATAAACTGTGAATCTGCTTATCATGGTCTTAGATATGGTGAAATTCCTAACTAGGCTCTTTGAGTTTGAAAATAGTGGATAATTGTGATTCACCATCTTCTTTGAACCAAAAGAAAAAAGAGATCGCAGAAACAACTTGAGATCTTAAAGTCTAAAAGCAAGGGAAAATGATGAAACCAAAGACACCTTTGCATCGAAGATTGGAGGAAGAAACTTAGGGTTCGCTGTTATCCAATTCACATAAATATGAAGAGACGATGATAAATAAAAATAAGGTGATGATGACGACAAGTACGATGGCAACGAACATGCTCATACGACAAGGCATAACCTAAAGATTTTAGAAGTCAAGATCAAGGAAAAATGATGAAACCAAATGCTGGAACTGATGAGACAATGATGAATAAAACGTGAAGAAAATTAAGCAAAAGTGAAATTAAACACTTTTAATTAATGAATGAATGATATGTAATGGATGATATGGCCCCAAACATACGTTTGTTTAGGTCATTCTAATTCTAATATCTTAAAGAGCACCACTTAATATTACGGTCTAATAATATTTCTTTTCATTTTTAAGTGAGATGTTTTAAATTCAATTATCACTAAAGCGAATTTGAACAATATTATTGCTAGTCCAAAGTGAGGCTAAATTCACCCCACTATTCTTTAGTGTAGATAATATCGATTTAAAAAAAATAAATATATATATATATATATATCTTAAAAGAGCATTTTTGCAAATAGCGCGTTAAGTCTTCATCTTGCTTTTCTTCGGCCAAGGGATACAGGCCACACTTAGACTCTAAAATTGACAAAATTAATCTCCAACCAAAAGCTAAAAGGAAATCTGGCTAAAATGGTCAATTAAGTTTGGCCCACGTCATGCAACATGTAGCCTCAATAGATTATATTTAGCCCTAAAATATAAAAAGAAATAAAATATAGTCCCGCATCGTATATACTAGTTAAATTTTAAAATATTTTTTTTTTAAATAACCGATATTATCTATATTAAGGGATATGGACTGAGTTTAGCCTTATAATCGGCTAGCAATAATGTGCTTTGTTTGTACCATACTTGACCAATCCCGAAACTACTGAGCACCGGTCAACGTTATACCGTTAAGGACCCAGAAGAGCTTCCCTTCAACCAGGAGGCCAATCACAATGCGACACGTGTCGACATCAGAAGCCAATCACAGCGCGACACGTGTCAACATCAGAAGCCAATCACAACACGATACGTGTCAATGTTAGAACAAAACTAGAAACTCTCTTCTATAAATAGGGATCATTCTCCCACAATAATTTCTAATGTCATTTTGTACTAAACTATTCACTAGAACTCACAAAATGAGAGCTTGAACCTTTGTATTTGTGTAAACCCTTCACAATCAATGAGAACTCCTCTACTCCGTGGATGTAGCCAATCTGGGTGAACCACATACATCTTGTGTTTGCTTCCCTATCCCTATTCATTTACATACTTATCTTCACTAGTGATCGAAGCAACCAAGCGAAGGTCACAAACCTGACACTTTCTGTTGTACCAAAGTCCTCGCTGATTTTGTGCATCAACATTTGGCGCCGTCTGTGGGAAACGACACTTATTCCCACTCTCTTCAGCTTTGTCAAGCTGGTTTCCACCGCTCGTACACTTTCTTTTGGTCAAGCATCTCTCTCCGACATGGGGAGCAAAAGAAGCCATAGCACACAGAATGACACCCCAATTGGACCTAGTATGAAGCAACGAAAGCAGGAAGGAAATAGAGTTACTCTTCAAGCTAAAGTCGATGAGTTAGAGGTTCAGAACAACAAGATAGCGATGAAGAATGAGGTCATCCAGGAACAATATGAAAAACTTTTCGAGATGCTTCACGAGGCTAGGCATGCTCAAACACACAAGCTCGTCGCCCCTGTTGAGGTTAACAATCATCTGAATGCCCCCCAACACGGAGGGTCATCAATATCCAACACGGACATCCCTGATAGGGATCGAGCTACACATCAATGTGATAATCAACATGAGACTTCTCTCAACCCAGCTGCTTCAACCCGAAGCAGAAGAAGTAGAGGAAAGCACATCTTCACAGAGAGAGTGGAAGGATCAAAAGCCGTCTATCGCGATTGTCGAGACTTCCTAAAGCAACGTCGAAAGAATTTCATCCACATAAGCTCGAAGATCAATGACCCAAGAGTTTCTGAAAGACTCGGTCCTCTTCCACGACCCAGGCCAGCGGCCAATCTAGGGAATGGGCAACAAGTCCCAGAAGAACATGAAGGTACAGGGGACTCGGAAATATTCCGACATACTCACTCTAGGAGTCAGTGTGGCGAGTCCAAGGAAAAATCACGCTATCTTGATCAAACTTTCCTACTTACAAGAGGCGATGGGGACTTACGGAAGAAAACTTCAGTGGTGCACGACTCCACTCAGGACCCCCTTGTCCTACAGCTCCTGGAAGAAGTAAACAAGTTGAAGGCTGAACATCAAGTCGAGATACCTGATTGGAACCAACCTAGGCCTGGCCCCCTCACAAGAAGGATCCTCAACACCCCCTCCAAGCAAAGACAAAGCAGAAGCTTGGCTTACAACTCTATACTGGAAATGAAGACACGATTGAACACCTTAACCTATTTGAGTTCACCATGGTATACTGGAGACACACCGACGAAGAACGGTGCCTTCTCTTCCCCTCTACCCTCTCTGGCAGAGCTTTAAACTGGTATTGCCGTCTTCCACCTGAGACAGTAGACTCATTTGAAGAGTTGAGGAAGCTGTTTGTCTCTCAACATATCTTCCAGACCGATCGCTTGCATTCCGCAGATGACTTGTACACTATTCGCCAGAAGCCGGATGAGTCATTACGAAAGTATGCTGGCCGCTTCAGCCATGAGTATTCTTGTTGCGCTGAGGCAGATGACAAGACCGCCCTCAAGGCCTTCACGGCAGGCTTACGTGACTGTTTCTTTAAGTACACGATCAATGCCAACACTTGGAAGACTTACTCTGAGGTGATGGCACAAGCTTACAACCATGCCTCCGCCGAGGCAATGACATATCAAGGGAAACCCCCTACAGTCACCCCTTATCAGCAAGTAGGGAGTGGAGGCCAGATCCAACCGAATGAGAAGACCTCAACCTTCCAAACGGTAGCAGCACACCCCCCTGCCTCATTTAATGCTTCGCCAAGTCAGCAGACGTATCAATCCCAGGGCAAAAGGAAAGATTTCCATCCTCACCAATCTCATTTTAATAAATAGAATAAGAGGCACTATTGCGATAACTCAGGATATCGTCACAATAACGCTCGTCCCCATGCAGTCAATGCAGTGGGCCAATCACATGTCAAGACATGCCCTACCCCGAGGTATGAGACATACACACCTTTGAACGCTACATGCGCGGCCATCTACCCCAGTATAGCTCATCTGATACCAAAGCCAAAGCCAAGACAGCCAGATTACAAGTCCACGAAAAACACGGGCATGTTTTGCTGCTACCACGAGTATAATGGCCATGATGGCGAGAAGTGCGTCATCCTCTGTGATCATATTGAAGCTTTGGCATGTGAAGGAAAAATTGATCAGTTCCTCCTTCACCCTCCAAGGGGTAACCGTAACCAACGCCAGGTGAATGTGATATATTCTATAAGCGGCGGCACACCTATGTCTGAATCTTCCAATAGAGCCATGAAAAACAGTGAACGAACTTTGAGACCTGGCCATCAAGTGTTTCACGTGGAAGACATCAGGAGAGGCAAGTATCAAAAGCCTAACTGGGATCCAATATGTTTCTACCCTGAGGAAGAAAGAGGTATCATCTACCCTCACAACGACCCGCTGATCGTGGAGGCTCACATAGAAAATTTTGATGTGAAACGAATCCTGATAGACACATGTGCTTCAGTCAATATCATGTTTGCTGAAGCTTTCAAGGCACTTAATGTAGCTGAACACTTGCTCGATCGCTCGATTTCTCCTCTGATAAGCTTCTCTGGCGATATCGTGCAACCTTTAGGGAGTATACACTTACCCCTTACCATTGGTACATGCCCCTACACAGCTACTATTACCACTAACTTCCTAGTGGTCAATTGCCCGACGGCATACAATGTCATATTTGGCCGCACAGGCATCAATGATCTCAAGGCCATGGTATCCACACATATGTTGTTGATGAAGTTTCCAACCCCTTTCGGCAATGGATACATCAGGGGAGGTAACTTAGTGCTTGATCATGTTACAACACTTCAGTTAAGCAACAACACCTGCCTGTCCCCAAGGAGACCCTTTCTATACATAACCAAGTAGTAAAGACCAGTCCAGATGAAGCCAACTCGGATCTTCATAATGGCAACAGTCAACCCGATGACCCTCGAGATGACTCCTTCACCCAGCAAGCACAACCCGCTGAAGAGTTAGAGAATGTCTCTATCTCCAAAGACTAGGGGTGGGCGCGGTGCGGTTTGGTGCGGTTTCGAGTGAAACCACAACCGAAATCGAAACTTTTTGCGGTGCGGTGCGGTGCGGTTTTGAAGCCAAAACCGAAATGAAACCAAACCGTTTGGTTCGGTTCGGTGCGGTTTCAAACGGTTTCGGTTTCGGTTTCAAACGGTTTTTGTGCACAAAACTGCACAAAAAACAGCAGCAAAAATTACACTGGAAGGAAAAGAAAAACACAAAGGAGAAGAGAGTTGCTTCTTCTACTACCAGCGGAGAAGAGAGTTCCTGAATGGCATGTTCCTCTAAGTTCGTTTCCTCT